AGAGCACTTTAGGACAAAAAGAAGCAGTAATTTTTGGCTCAACAGGTTTACATGGAGCTTCAGAAGCTTACTCTCACTACCAATAATATTCATTCAAACAGCCATCTACTCAGACCCTGATTCTCTCTTAGGCCACTTTGTATTGCTTGGACAGCAGTGGACCACATAATCAAGCCCTTATAGTATAGCATAAGGACTAGTTCTTATAGCAACCTCAGAAACCCTTACTAACTTCAGTGAGGCTTTGTACTAGTGCAGAGATTAATTCATGTGGAACTAATTGCAGGACTGTGGCCTAAGTAAGAAACTGGTCTAGCTCCATTTGCTTGTTATCCAGTTGTCAAAATGTAGTGCTCATTAAGTGCAGAAACAAAGGGTCCAGATGGATTCTTTATATCTGAGAAATGTGTTTCCCATATAAAAAGAAAATAATCAGTAACACTGCAGTGGAATTTAAAACCTTAGTGAAAAGAAGGGAAACTCTAATGCAGGTCTTTTAATCAAGAGTAATTCAGAGGCCCTTCCTCTATGCAGTTTATGATCTACTTTTGCCTAAAAAAACCTATTTGTGCAAAATGCAGTTTCACTACCTGAGTCTATAGAATATGAATGAGACTCAAACAAATGCCTTCTATTCCCACTGGTCTCTTCCACAGTGTGAACTCCATGCTTGTTTCCAATTGTGCTCTAATCACTTTTCTCCCATTCTGTAACACTGAGATTTTCTGCCCTACACAAGATATTTCTGGGCTCCTCTAACTTAACCAACCTGCTGAAGTCCTTAACAGCAGGACCAGACAGACAGGGGTCACTAACATGAAAGTAATAGCTGTTTCCTTACATCAGCAGATGGCAATAAGCTAGTGTAGGAGGCATAACAGCATATTTTAGCTAGTAAAAGTTGGCATGAAGATATTATCTGCTGTATGGATGTACGAATCTAAAATATGATTAAAAAAACCCAAAACCTCAAAGTGATTAAGAATTGGAACTAGCAGTTTCCAGAACTATTCTCTTAAAACTATGAATTATTTGAAGTAGTGAAAAGACCAATCCTCTCTTTATTAATTTTTTATATCTAATTCTTCTAAGTAGACCAAGGAGTAGCATAGACTTAAGCTTTCCTGAAGTTCTTGAATGAGCATTTAGATCTGAGTAAAGCCTCATCTCTCATCTTCTAAGAGTTATGATTTTTTTTTTTACTGATGTTGTGTTTTAAACCCATGTGTAGGTGTGCAACCTATTTCATCTAGGCAACAAAGGATCATGTGAAAAAGGTCTCTAGCATTGTGAGACCAAGGCATTTTCTAATACAATTAAGAACTTCATTTTCTCCATGGAGCATTTTAAATTTCATTATTTTCACCTTCTGCTCCTTTCAAGTTTTAAATTCTCTCTTCACTGTTTTCATACAAACTGAATTTTATTTTGAACATCTACATTGGGATAAAAATGCAATAAAATGGTTTAGTTCAAGGATTGTTCTAATTGTCATCGGGACTATCTGCAAATCAAGTTTTCCATAAATTTGACTATATCACTGACAAGAACAACTCAAAAATCTTTTTATAACTCAAATCTGATTTGCTTCTTCATTATGAACTGTATAAATTATTCAGCAATATGGTTCTGTTATACAACTGTACACATGTGTAGGATTCAGCTCCCTATCTTAAAAATGCAGTACTGATTTTTGTCTGGAAAAAGCCTAACAAATTCTGTTGAGCAATCTACTCTTCGCTGAAGTGCAGAAATGGTACACCATTTACTGTTTGAGAAGTCAGGCTCTGATAGCGTTGATTAGTTGTTCTTTTCTGTTACAAAGGGTAGAGAGAAACCTGCACAACAGGTTGTGGGAGCTTGTTTCAGACAAGGCTTTGTTTCATTACCATTTTCAGAATTAATCAGAAACTTGAAACTTTTACTGAGGAAGGCCAGCTCCAGTATTTAATCTTCTCAGTCTTGATCATGGAGGGTGCTAAGCACTACAACTCTTACCACACACGCAGACGTGGATGCACACCTTCCAGAGGTTTAGTACCTCCTACCAGGTCTTACTTCCCAATTTTATTCTGATGCTTTGTCATTGTGTCTATCTTTAAATCATTATTGTATGCTGTTACCTCTTCTATTTAAAACCTGTGAATGTTGGTTCTGAGAAGTGAATTCAAAGAAGTCAAAGCTACCCTGCCAAGTTTGACTTTTCTGTTTCAAGTTCATAATTTTTTTTTAATAAAACTTTGTCAGATAGGATGTAATATCCAGTATCTAGATATCTAAACCAGAACAGAAAACAACGTTTCATCACCATATATCCTAAATCAAGAGAGACCGGTAAAATCATGCTGTTCCGCTTTCATTATCATGGACTACATTGAGGAAATAATTCGCTTAAATTCCTTTTCACGCTGCTAAGATCACTATGTGAACACAATTTCCAGAAACATCTGTGAAGCAACTACTACTACGTGTGTTTTACAAGTAGGAAAACTGAGTCAGAGAAAGGTTCTTATGGCTTAGGCATGACTGCATATAAATTAATAGCAGTGCTAAGATTAAGGCTGATGAATTAGTAACTATCAGGTGTTGACCCAGTTCACCAGAATACGCTACCAGGGCACATTTTTTCCACATCGCAGAAATTCTTTTTGTAAACTGCAGTGCTGGGCAGCCCTGTAATTATGCACAGAGCACTTTAGGACAAAAAGAAGCAGTAATTTTTGGCTCAACAGGTTTACATGGAGCTTCAGAAGCTTACTCTCACTACCAATAATATTCATTCAAACAGCCATCTACTCAGACCCTGATTCTCTCTTAGGCCACTTTGTATTGCTTGGACAGCAGTGGACCACATAATCAAGCCCTTATAGTATAGCATAAGGACTAGTTCTTATAGCAACCTCAGAAACCCTTACTAACTTCAGTGAGGCTTTGTACTAGTGCAGAGATTAATTCATGTGGAACTAATTGCAGGACTGTGGCCTAAGTAAGAAACTGGTCTAGCTCCATTTGCTTGTTATCCAGTTGTCAAAATGTAGTGCTCATTAAGTACAGAAACAAAAGGCTCAGATGGATTCTTTATATCTGAGAAATGTGTTTCCCATATAAAAAGAAAATAATCAGTAACACTGCAGTGGAATTTAAAACCTTAGTGAAAAGAAGGGAAACTCTAATGCAGGTCTTTTAATCAAGAGTAATTCAGAGGCCCTTCCTCTATGCAGTTTATGATCTACTTTTGCCTAAAAAAACCTATTTGTGCAAAATGCAGTTTCACTACCTGAGTCTATAGAATATGAATGAGACTCAAACAAATGCCTTCTATTCCCACTGGTCTCTTCCACAGTGTGAACTCCATGCTTGTTTCCAATTGTGCTCTAATCACTTTTCTCCCATTCTGTAACACTGAGATTTTCTGCCCTACACAAGATATTTCTGGGCTCCTCTAACTTAACCAACCTGCTGAAGTCCTTAACAGCAGGACCAGACAGACAGGGGTCACTAACATGAAAGTAATAGCTGTTTCCTTACATCAGCAGATGGCAATAAGCTAGTGTAGGAGGCATAACAGCATATTTTAGCTAGTAAAATTTGGCATGAAGATATTATCTGCTGTATGGATGTACGAATCTAAAATATGATTAAAAAAACCCAAAACCTCAAAGTGATTAAGAATTGGAACTAGCAGTTTCCAGAACTGTTCAATGTTACAGCGTTTCCCGGATGCACCCAAGTTCTAACACGACCTAGAAGTGAGTTTGAATGCTCTGCTGCCTAACATCACTGACGATGTAATTTCATGAAAAGTTCTAGGAAACCTAAATCTCCCTATCTGCCAAAAAAGGGCAGTCCCACTCTTCTCCAAGGCATGTTTCTACCTATTCCCTTGTGAAGGTGCCAACATTTGTGCAGCCACGCGCAAACAAATTACCTCAAGGAACTGACCT